AAAGCCTCAAGTGCTGCCTGATCTGGCTTCTTTCCATGCTTTCAATCTGTTATCTCATAGACTTTGACCAAGTTGAATAGTTGCTTTTGGTAAGAGGATTAGTCATGGCTAGAACTAGAAGTTTGTAAAACTGCAAAGAAAAAAATTTATCTTGTAAAAATGAGTATCTATAGACATGAGGAATTCTGCTCACGTGACTGTGTTTCAAAGAAATCTTCATGTATGTATAACAGAAATGTGGGTAAGAACATTTATAGAACACCAGAACATACTAACAAACTATTAAAATTCCCCTCAACGGAAGAGTTGATGAGTAAGCATACTACATTCACACAGAGCAGTAAAAATCAAATGAATCACAAGAGCTATATAGAAGAGTCTCCACAATATATTCTTAGTTAAAAATGAAGATATCAGGCTGGGCATGGTGGTGCATGTCTTTGATCCCAGCACTCAGGAGGCAGAGGCAGGCAGATCTCTGTGAGTTTAAGGCCAGCCTGGTTGATATAGCAAGTTCAGGCCAGCCAGGGCTACAGGGAGACCCTGTCTCAAAGAACTGAAACAATAACAATAACAACAACATCAACAACAAAAATACAGATAGGATAGATTTGTATAGGAAGGAAAGCAAAGGAATGATAAATACAAGATTCATAATAGTACCTTCTTTGGGCAGGAATGGAATAGATAATGAACAATGGATGTGGTCAAAGTCCTAGTTTTCACACTGAAGGATGATTTATGAATGCTTATTACATTAAATTAACTAAGTAAATGAATGGTCACATATGCAAGAATTATAATTGACCCTGTCTTATTTACGTTCTTGAGAACGGTAGAGTTATCTGAGGCAGACCAATATGGTGGCTTTTGCTCCATTATTGCTGGAGGCCTATATAGCTCCTTAAATGTATTTTAAAGATCATGGGCAAAACCCCTAAAGTGTTATGCTCAGTCACCTTGATAGTACTCAGATCAGCCACTTGGCTTCTCCTACCATAGTAGTGGTTCAACCAACCTCTTTCTTGCAAGCTCTCCTCTTCCTCAAGTCCTCCTTAGCTTTGAGAACGCTGTGACTAAAGTACCAAGTTTGCCAGCTTACGTTTGTTTCATCATTTCTTCCGGAATCAAGTCTCTGACTGGTCTTTGTAGAGCCTCTGAGTTCAGTTTGCGGCAGACAGATGTTCATAGCACTGCACTGTCACCAAACCCTGAACGACATGTCCTGCACGTTCTTGCTTTTGTCCACACCATTCTGTCTAAAGAACCTTGTTTTATTGACATTTTACTCATTTTCAAGTTTCAGTTAATCTATTGCCCATTTCTCTTTGTGTGTGTTGTGTATATTATGTGTGTGTGAGTATTCATTGTGTGAATGCAAACAAATGTGTACTGTGGTGCAAGTGTGAATGTCAGAGGACTGCCTGGTATGTCAGTCTTTGCCTTCCACTTTGAGACAGGGTCCTTTTGTTGTTTTTCCACTGTGTTTTTCTGACTAGCTGTCCTCCAGTACCTGGTGATTCTCCCCTCTCTGCCTCCCACCTTTCTGTAGGTGCTCAAGGGTTATAGACCCAGGGCTATTGCATCTGGCTTTTATTTACATAGCTTCTGGGGATCCAAATTCAGGTCATCAGGCTTACATGACAAGCACTTTACCCTGTGACCACCCCCATGACCATTTCTTTGAAGACCTGATTTGAATATGAAATGTTCCCCACAGGCTCAATCTCTGGAGACATTACTACTTGCTGATGAGATGTGATTTGTTCCTGACTAAATCAATGGATTAACCCTTTGATGGATTCATAATGACATTATTGAGAAGGTAGGAGGGGGGCCTGACTGGTAGAACTAGAGCTTTGGGTGGGCCCTGGCTCCTTTTCTCTGCTCTCTGGCTGGGAAGAGCTAAGCAGCTTCCTGACCATACGCAGTGATGTCCTGCCTCACTATCAGCAATAGAGCAGGTGAATCAAGGGCTAAAACCTCTGAAACCACAAACCAAAATAAATCTTTCCTGTTTTAAATTGTTTCTCTCAGGTGTTTGCCACAGTAATGAAAAGTCTAACCAACACAAACGGAGCACTAAGCCAGGGGTGGAGCCTGCAAATAGCCTCCAGGTTGCAAAAGGAGACTTGGATCTAGAGGCAACCTTGTATACCAGTGGGACAATCTAAATAGGCGGAAAAACTTTGATCTCTGTTCCAGTCTCCCAGAGGTGGTTTCCAGAGGCAAGGTATCTGTAGAAAGAGCTTATTCTTTGGAATTAAACCAATCTGGGTTAAATTCTTGATCCATCTTTTGCAACCATCTTTGGAAATCAAAATATTAGCCCCTTGGGGGAAAAAAGAGAGAGAGAGAGAACAGCTTACACGTGTATGTGGCTCTGCCCATTATTTCATTAAGTTAACAGATGTATTCCAATAAGCAGGAGATGAACACAAAAACCTGTTGCTTACACAGAGCTGAGTATTCTTCATTCCAGCAATATGAGTATGGATGCCCTTTCCGTGACTCCTGTATTTCCTATTTCTTCTTTCAGTGTCTTAAAGTTTTCATTGTAGAGGTCTTTCACTTTGGTTATGTTTGTTCCTAAGTATTTTAATTTTTTCTGACACTATTGTGAATGGCATATTTTCCCTAATTTCTTTTTCAATAAGTTTATTATTGTTATATACAAAGCTATTGATTTTCATGTGTTGATTTTGCGCGCTGAAACTTTGCTGAAAGTGTTTATCAGACCTAAAATTTTTCTGGTGGAACCTGTTGAGTCTATTACATACAGAAGCATGTTATCTGTAAATAAGAATGGTTTAACTCCATTTTAAATTTTTATTTCTTTTTTATCTTTTTCTTATCTTATTGATATAGCTAACATTTCAAGCACTATATTGGATAACCATGGAATGAGTGGTCACCTTTGTCTCATTCAAGATTTTAGAGGACATGTTCTCAGTTTTTCCCTATTAATATAGTGTTGACTGTAGGTTTGTCATATATAATCTTCATTATGTTAAATTATGTTCATTTTTTTCTTAGTTTCTTCAAGTTATTTATTATGAAGTCATGTTGAATTTTTTCAAATGCCTTTTCTAACTCAAGTTGATCATATGATTTCTGTCTTTAAGTGTATTAATATGTTTACTGATTTTCATATGTTGAATCCGCCTCTCATCCCTGAGGTGAAAGCAACTTGTCATGTATGTGTTTCTCAATGTGTTCTTGAATTTGATTTGCAAGTATTTTGCTGAGAATTTTTGCATCTACATTCATCAGGGAAACTACAGTTTATTTTTGATGTATTTTTATCTAGTTTTGGCATCAGAGTAATATTGGCTTTGTAGAATTAATTTTTTAGTATTCCTTCCCTTTCCTTCCTTTTCGATTTTGTGGAGCATTTTCAGAAGTATATCTTTCTTAAAAGTTTGGTAATATCTAGACTATATAAAGAGCTAAAAAATAAAATACACACACACAAAACCCCACCAACCAATAAATGGGTCAATGAACTCAATAGATAATTCTTTTTAAATATATTTCATTTATTATTTTAATTGTATGAGTATTTGCCTGCATGTGTGTAAGTGCCCTTGTGTTGTGCAGTGCCCACAGAGGTCAGATGAGAGTGCTGTATACCCTGGAACTGGAGTTATGGACAGTTATTAGTCATGATGTAGATGCTGGAAACCAATCCCAGGTCCTCTGCAAGAGCAGCCAGCGCACTTACCTGCTGAGCCATCTCTCCAGCCACAGTAGACAATTCTTAAAACAAGAAATATTTTTTATATGTTCAGTATCCTTAACTATCAGGGAATACAAATTAAAACTCTGAGATTCAATCTCAACCCAAACATAATGATGATCATTGAGAAAAAGAGTGACAGCAATGCTGGTGAGGAGGTGAAAGGAAGGAACTCTTACTGTTGAAAGGGGTGTCAACCAGTGCAGCCACCGTGGACATCAATGGGTGCTTCCTCAACAAAACTAGAAGTATCAGTGATACCACATCTTGCCATCTCCCCAAAGGACTGTATATTCTACTATAGACAGCTTGTATATCCACATCTATCACTGCTCCATTCACAGTGGCAAAGAGATTGAACCAGCCTGGACACCATCACTTGATGAGTGGGTAATGGAACTGTTCTACATTGGAATTTTGCTCTGACATAAAGAAAATTGAAATTATAAAATTCACAAGAAAATGCATAAAACTGGAAAATATTATATAAAGGGAGGTAACCTGGGCTCAGAAAGACAAACCCTGATATTCTCTCTCATATGCAGATTCTAGCTCCCAATTTTTATATTCTATAGTATTTACATGGAAATGGGTGGGGCAGAGGTTGTAAAACTGGAAAGGGGCCCATGAGAAGGAAAAAAGAGGTTTTAAGCGGGGTTGGGAAAGGTAACAGAACACATGTGCTATGAAGGTAGAAAGAGGTTTGGGGGGTGGATACCAACAGGGAGGTCAAGCAGTGAGATAGGACAGAGGAGTGAGTGGGGGGAGGAGCAACGGAAACTAAGTATGCCTGAACGAGCCATTAAGATTCCTGCTACTTTGTATGCTAATTTTTTAACAAAAAGAACCATTTGTTTAACTCATAGTTCTATAAAGCACGAATTTCAGGGCGGGGCGGTGGGGATGCCTGCATCTAGTGAGGGCTTTCAAATTGCATCACATGACAGAACATAAAAATGGAGCCTATGTAAAAGATACTGTAATAATGAGCTAGCTCGCAATCCACCTGAGAGAACTAAGGTGGGTCTGCAATGATGGCACTAATCCTGAGGGTTGCCCCTCTGTCATCAGATCACCTTGTAAAGACCTCACCTTTCAAGACTTACATTGCCAATTAAGTTCCCAACACATGAACTTTTGGGAGGACACATTTGATCCATAACACTTGCCCTCCATGTGCTTTTTTTCTTTCTCTCCAAGACTGCAGTGCAGATGAGGTTGTCAATAATCAATACAATATATAACACGATAGGGCCAGAGCTAGGACACAGAGCTGACTCAGTTTATACCTTTTTGGGGATACAAGGTTAGAAGGTTGAGTCTGTATTATTTGTAAGGAATATGATCATCCTGATGCCTCCATGCTGTAAGGACGCTCAGGTGACAGGGACAGCTGACTAACCAGTGCCCCAGTCTGAACACAGAAGCAGCATGACTTTCTGTGGCTAAAAATGCTTCTAGATGATTCTAATGAGCAGCCATGAGCCTCCAGTTGTTGTATTTTCCAATTCAGATCCAGGTATCCTGAAGAAGAGTCATGCTGGCTCTTTTATGGGGTTTTAATTTTCTGACCCACAGAATCCATGCTCATAATAAAATCATTTGATGTCACTGAGTTTGAGTACAGTTTTTCAAGTGGCAATAGAATCTGAATGCAGGATACTCTGAAGACAACAATGTACTTGCTGTTCTAGGTACAAAGCTCCAGTTCCAGGGTATCCAATGCCCTCTTCTGATCTCTGCGGCCACTGTAGAACACAGGTGTACCTACCTACATGCAGGCAATACACTCCTACACATAAAATAAAAATAAAAATATTTAAAAAGAGGTTATTATATACATGTGATATTTTGCTCTTGAAGGGCTCTAGTAGGGAAACACTTTATGTATATTTCATAGCAGTATCTAAAAATCCTAAGACCAAAGGACCTTGGCCCGAAGCCTCAAAGGTATTCCCTATTATAGATCATGAAATTCAGTTATTCATTGAACATGACTTTATTGTACCTATTATAAAACTGTTGAGCATTGTGTGTTTTCTGAAAAAATTAAGGTAATCAGTCCAACCTTCAAAGAATATAGATGATAGATAGATAGATAGATAGATAGATAGATAGATAGATAGATAGATAGATAGATATAGAGAGACACGGTTATATGTATCTGGAAGACCAAGAAATGAATGGCGTGCTAGAATACTGGAGGCTTTTTGTGGGCTGTTTCTAAAACAAACCTGGAAGGACAGTGGAAAGAGAAAGAAAATTAACATGATGACTTCCTGACCCACAATAGACCTTAACCCTCACAACCACTGTTTAAGATGATGCATACTTCATCTGCCTTTACAAGTAAGGAACCAGACATTTGCAAAGATTGTCTTGGTCAAGGTTGTAGCATTAGCAAGTTAATACTAAAACCTAAGGATAGACATATTTCACCATATTGATACCCCCAAATGTATTTTCTGCCTCAAAGAATCATTTCTCTACCAGCATTACCAAGAAGAAAAATCTGTTCAGTTACTTGCCCAGCATTAACAGCATTCCTATTCAATTAGTTTTCCTCTAAAACTTTTTATTAAAATAATTAACAATAATATCCCATTTGACAGAAACTTCAGTGCTTACATACCGTATTCACATCTTTTTCCCTTGATCTTTAACAGTAGTGTGATGGTGCTTTACAGTCAGGATCTCATAGCTAAGCAGAGAGAAAAGGTTTGCTGCCACATTGAAAAAGGATATGTCCTTAAAGGTATGTATTTTGCCTCTTACTGAGAATCATCTGACTACGCATTCCTGAAGATTTTATAAAAGCTTGCTGTTATGTTCAGAATGTTCTTAAAGGACAGTCTCATCACATCATTGACTATATATCATGACAAAATATGTGTTTTGTGAAAAATATCTCCTGGATGACTTCAGCTCTTTTGTGGTTGATTTCCTGTTGTCTTGGGTTATATAGTTAGTCTTTTTTCCTTAGAATGTGGCTGACAAGAAAAAAGTTTTGCCTCAAACTTACTATATAGCCAAGGATGACCTTGACCTTCTGATCTTCCTGTCTGTACCTCCCAAGTGTTGGAATTACAAGCATGAGATACCATGGTTTACATGGTGCCGGGGATCGAACCCAGAGCTTCATTAATGCTAGATAAGAACTCCAACAACTGAGTTATCTTCTGAATCCAGAGAAAGATTATTTATAAAGTACCAAAAAGACAGCTCTATAATTTCCTTGTTGCTTGATTCTTCTTGGGGGCATAGATATAAACATCAGTCTATGCATTATAGAAATCCTTTAGGGCAGAAATCATTTTAACACATTGACTACAATTTTGAAAAGATCAGATGGATGGAAACAAGCTAATTCAATCTTCAAATCCATTTGATGGGGTTCCTGTTAGCTAATGAATATCACAGTAGACTGAGAGCCTAAGAAAGAATATATGTGGGAGCCAAAGACCCAACCAAAAGGAAAGAAAGAAAGAAAGAAAGAAAATATCATAGGCCAATCTCTTTGATGACCATAGACATAAATATTCTCAATAAAATACTTACAAATCAAGTTCAAGAGCACATCAAAAGTATCTTCTACCATGATCAAGTTGGCTTCATCCTAGAGATGTAAGGATGGTTGAACATATGTAAATCAATAAATACAATCAACCACATAAAGAGATTCAAGGACAGAAATTATCCCCAAACATTACTGTGTATTGCTGTTGCTCTTGGTTACCCTTTAGAATGTGACAATAGACCTTATTGCTGAAGACACCACCTATTTGAGTCAAGAACATAGAGAAATCAAGCTGGTACTGACCTGGAGGCTTCATCCCTACTGGCTAGCTTTCATTGTGCTGAAAGGTGCCAGGCACACCTCTGGAAGTGATAAACAATTGTCAGTCTTATCAGTTGTGAATGCTGTGAGCTACACTAACAACTGGTTGGGCAAGATATGCCTACTATTACAATAGTGGCATGGACATTATGGGAGTAACGAAATACTTTCTGATTCGATTTCAGGCCTGCTTTACAAGATGGAACCCACACATGGTACTGTTATTGGTGCCAAGAACCTGTGACTAGACAAGTCATAGCCCTAAGGGACAGCCTACTACTATTTTGCTAAATGGACATAGTATCAAACACATATCTAATGACTTATTGTAATAATCATACATTAGTACATCTCTCAACCCTCATTGAAGAAGTCTCTCTCTTTTTTTTTTGGTCTTTTTGAGACAGGGTCTCCCTGTAGCCCCAGCTGTCCTGGAACTCACTGTGTAGACCAGGATGGCCTTCCACTCACAGAGATCCACCTGCCTCTGCCTCCCGAGTGCTGGGATTAAAGGCATGTGCCACCACACCCAGCAGAAGTCTCTTTTTTTTTCAATAAATGATGATTAACACAGCATCTCATATCTGGTAGACATGCAGAGAATAAGAGATTGTGGAGTGCTCAGTCCTAAATGGGATACCTATATCACACCCCTCCATTAAGTCTCAGGGACTGTCCTGGAAGAGAGGGTAGAAAGATTGTAATAGCCAGAGGTAGTGGATGACTACAATGAGACAGTATTTTCTGGACACAACAGGGCAGTTGCACATGTGAACTCAGTTGTTGTGACAACATGCACAAGATCTGAGCAAGTTCAAGCCATATAAAATCCCAGCATGGAGATGGGCGGGAGTCCCACTACTAGCTGAGGCGCTATTAACAGTTGATAGCTGCTAGTGGAGGGAAAACCAGTTGCTTATGTTAATATCTCGTCTACCACTCCTACGCTATCCAGATAACTCTTTCTAAAACATTTCCTGACCCTGACCTATACAATTTAATACACATAAGCAAAAACAAATTCCTAAACCCAACACCTGGGGCCTTACACAATTTGAACCCATTTCTCTTCCCAAATTACTTGTCTCTTGCTATTTCCTGAACAAACCTCCATTCCAAACAAGCTAGTCATGCCCGCCTGAAAACAGTATATGGATTTCTTCCTCCAGGCTGTTGCTTGTGCTGTGTGTGTTTTATGCCTGGAATGTTCCTCCAGCCATCTTTTCCAGCCAGCAAATTCCAACCAATCTCTTCTTCAAGGAAACTGATCGAGCTTGGATGAGGCTTGACTATGTTGCCCTTCTGCTCTTAGGTTGGTGTTTAGTCCCAATTGTGATTATTTCCAGAGAATGAACACTTAATCTCACTGTAGTGTTTAGTTATAAAGCCTTTGGGGGGTGATTAAGTTTAGATCAGATTATCAGGGTGGAGCGTGGAGCTCCCCATGTTCTAGTTTGCTTCTCTGTTGCTGTGATTAAAAAAAAAAAAAAAAAAGACCAAAAGCAACTTGGGGAGGAAAGGGGTTTTTTCAGCTTACAACTCCTAGTTCACAATCTGTCACTGAAGGAAGTCAGGGAAGGAACTCAAGGCAGGAATCTGGAAGCAGGAACTGAAGCAGACACCATGGAGGAACACTGCTTACTGGCTTATTTCTGGCTTGTTCAGTTTCCTTTCTTATACAGTGAAGGCCCACCTGCCTAGGGAAGGCTGTGGTCTCCTACGTGAATTAACAATTAAGAAAATGTCCCAGAGACGTTCCTGCAGGCTGATCCAACGAAGGAAATTTCTCAGTTGAAATTCCCTCTTCCAAGGTATGTTTAGAATTGTGTTAACAAAATCAAACTAAACACCCCATAACTGAGTATCAATGGCATTATAAGAAGACTCCCTCACTGCGTGTCTCTCTGTCTCTGTCTCTCTCTGTCTGTGCTGCCATGAGGCTCTACCAGTAAGAAGTTCATCATTAGATATGGATATTTGAGCATCTATCACTGAACTGTAACAAATGCTTTTTTCTTTGTAAAGTAGTTCTACTTCTGGTTAATGGACTAATGCAGCAGTATATTCGAACATAGATTGGAACTAAAAAGACACTAGATTCATCTTTAAAGTTTATGGCTAAGGCTAGGAGTTAGCTCAATGGTAGAGTTCTTGCTATAATATGTAAGCCTCTGGGATCAATCCTCAGCATTGAAAACAAAACAGAGAGAAAGAGAAAAGAGAGAACACAATTAAAAAAAAAATTCTTTATTTTATATGTATGAATGCTATACTTGCATGTAGGTAAGTGCACCCATGTCATGCAATGCCTGCGGAGGAAAGAAGAGGCTGTCAGATCCCCTGGAACTGGAGTTACAGACAGTTGTAAGCTGCCAGGTGGGTGCTGGGGATCGAACCCAGGTCTTCTGCAAGAACAGTCAGTGTTCTTAACTGCGAGCCATCTCTCCAGCCCACAAACACAATTTTTAAAAAACAAGGAAATGTAATAATCTTAGATGCCTATCAACAGATGAATGGATAAGAAACTGTGGTACAGATACACAAATGGAATTCTATTCTGCCATAAGTAAAAAATGAAATTATGAAATTTGTTAACTGAAAAATATTACATTAAGTGAGATAACCTAGGTTCAAAAAAGACAAATTCCATATGTTCTATATGTGGATCCTAGGTTCTAGCTTTTATTTGTGTGTGTGTGTGTGTGTGTGTGTGTGTGTGTGTGTGTGTGTTTGTAGTGACCAGGAAACCAGAAGGAGGCCCATAAGAGATGAAAAAGAGTCTTTAAAGGAAAAGAATGAGAGGGTAAAAGAACACATTTGCTCCAACGTGTAAGGAAGGCAAAATAATGAGCAAATGGTGGAATTTGGGGCAATCTTACTGGAATTTAAATATATAAATATTTAGGGGTAGAAACAATCAATTTATAGCATTTTCATACTTATTGCCTGGTCATTTCATTAAGTACTCCACCCACCTCTTATTCTACTTGCCAACAATATCATCGGAATGAAATGAAAACTCAGTCTGTCCTCCATGTCAGCCCTAACTGCCCAATCCAGGATTTGGAGACAGGTGAATTAAATTCTCAGTTCTTCGCCACCTTTTCCAATTTCCTCTTTTGGTTCATCTGCAAAGAGAAAACACATTAAGAGACTTGAATTCTAGACACCAATAAAAGTAAAGACATTATTTTGGTCATAGTGAAACACCCACTAGAAAAGAGAAGTGACCGCTCCCAGCCCCATGGCAATAGTGTTTGGTCTGTGAGATCTGAGGGATTATGTTTGCCTTGCTCAGTAAATATTGAATGAATAAACAGAGCCTGAGCGGGATCTAGAATAAGTTTCTCTTCTCACTCTGGTGCCCATGCCCTTTGCAAGTGATCGCCCTGTCTGCCTTCCACTTTCGTGTGCTTGAGTCTCCACACCTTGTTCTACTGAGCCTTCTGGGAGGGAAATCATGCACATTCACATCTGCCTTTCTCCCAGTACTTAGTAGATACACGGCTTTTATAAGATTTTTTTTTTAGTGAGGTTGTATCCAGAGAATAAAAATAAACAAATATCTGTAATAAAATTAAAAGACACTTTCAGCTTATTTCTTGGTATTTGTGTCATCACAAAAATTGTTTGTAATTGCACGTTTATGATATTCCACACTCTAATGTTTTGCCCTGTGGCATCCTTCATGACTGTCTCAGGTGACATGAAAACTCTCTTTCTGAATGCCGTCTTGTATGTTTCTCTCTTGCACATTGTACATAATCAAATGTTTAGACAGTAATCCTGGCCTATGGAGGGAACATCAGGTTTTTGAGAATAAGAGCTGTGCTATACCGAGTTTGCATCCTCAGCATCTACAGAGGAGCTGAACAATGTACTAGGCACACTAGTGTTGTTTGAATAAATGATGAAACAGTTTTGGAGTAAATTATATTAGTTTGAGAATATCTTGAAATGTACATCTAGAAGATTTTTGTTGGTTTTGGTTAGGAAATAGGATCATGAAGTCAAGGGAGCTTTGTTATTGTTTGTTATAGTTACTGGTCATTTGTTAAGTTGTCCAAGTTACTTGGTGTGTTGTATGTATGAAAGTATGAGGTCACAGTTAAGATTTCTTCAGGTGTTTTCTGGCTTCTTGGTCTGTGTTTCAATGACTTCATTAGCCAATTTTTAAGGTAGCAATTAAGTTCCAGCTCCAGTGATCAGCTTTTGTGATCTCTGGTGGAAGCCTCATATAACTAAGTATCTTACCCACCAACCTCCTCAAAATCACAGGTTGTACCTCTTGGACAGAGAAGAGCTAAGAAATCATCAAGAAAAATCAAACAATGAGATCATTTAAGATATTCACAACAGATCTGCCAATTCCAACTTAATATACCAATTACCATATTTCTGATGGCATTTTCAACAGTGGTTTCTGTTGCCTTAGCTGTGTATATAAAATAAATGTCAATTCAGACAAAGTAAAGGAACAGGAACTGGAAAATGAAAAGATTCAAATACGCTTTCTTCAAATTTGCAGATGGTTGAACATGAATATGGGACCCTCATGGGGTCACCTCGTGAAAGTCATCAAGACCTGGTTTGATTCACTGCAAAAAAGAACTTTTGGCTAGATGTGGTGGAGCAGGCCTGCTGTCCCAGCATTTGGGAGGTAGAGGCCGGAAGGGCAGGAGTTCATGTTGGGTACTGTTTATTGGTACTGGGTGCAAGATGGGCACTGCTTGAAGAACTGAAGCTACAAGGACTGATCTTAAGTGATTCATAGAGCAACAAGGGAAGCAACAACGAAAAATGTTCCAGGAGAGGTGGAGGTAACTTACAACGGGAACACAGGAAGGACTTACTAAAAGAGCTTAATCAAGAAAGCCTTCAGAGAGAAGGTGATGTTTGAGTTGAGTCTCAAAAAGTGATTAGGATGTTGTTAGAATACAGAAAATGCTCCAGCTTTGGAGGGTGTAGGCAAAGAGTAACTTGGGAGGGATTGTGCTGGGGAACTGAACTGACTACATTTCCAATGTCCTTTATTGCAAAGATTATTTCATTCTATTTCTTATAGTATACTTTAAAAGATGTCAGATTCAGCAGTTAAGAGCACTGGCTGCTATTGCAGAGCATCCAGGTTTGGTTCCCAGCACCCACATGGGCTAACTGCCCTTAATTCCAGTTCCAGGAGATCCGACGCCCTCTTCTGGCCTTCATAGGCATTGCATGCATGTGGTGTGCTATACACATCCAGACAAAACATTGATACAATAAAATAATTTTTAAAGAAGATTTAAAAGCAGCAAGCTCTGGTAAGGATGGATTTCCACACCTAGTAATTCTATCAGACTCATCAGTTGTCCAGAAAATTCATTCAGAGTAGATGGCATCAGGGCAAATTTTATCTGGTACATATGTTTAAGTCTCAGGATTCCTTTCATAGCTCTAGTTTTCCAACCTATAAACAGAACCTCCACCAGAAAAGATAAGTTTCCTTTCCAGGATTATTACTAGGTGATAATTCATCTAAGATTCATTTGACAGACTCTTGGGGATAGAAAACACGTGAGCTCTTTGATGACACAAAAAGTTCATTATCAGTTTTTGGTTATTGTTTTTGGTTTTTTGCACCAACTATAATCTGACATCATGATGATGGATGGAGAAAAAGGCTGAAGATTGCTTTTGGATTTCCACCTGTTGTTGTTTGTTTGTGCATGTTGTTTGTCTGTTTCCCCTGCTGTTTTTCTGCCTCATGCAGGAACTCTTAAACACCTAAGCTTCCAAGTTTGCTCCAAGTTGCTCACTTGGTGGCTCTTATTAGTAAAATGGAGTTTAAAATAATTGATTTTTGGAATCCTGTAGCGAAAGTCATTATTAAGTCGCCAACACGTAGAACATAAAGAGGGCATACTGCCGATGCTGAGATACTGTTAATATGTTTCCTTGAGCAACTACCACCTTTCCTTTAAGCAAAACCACATCTCAGTGCATGTTTGCAAACATTCCTGTAAATTAATGTGTATTACAATTGTCTTCATAATTGTTCCACACTGGAAACAGCTCATATGTCTATTGATTGGTTGTTTGGTTAAAGAAATTAGAAAATCCATACAATGAACTTATCTTTAGCAAAAAACAAAAAATCCAAACTATTGAAATGAGTTTCTAGTATATTCTGTTAAATAAAGAAAAACCATTCTCAAAAAGTTATCTATTCTCTGATTCCATTTATATGGTATTCTAAAAAAAGGAAAAAAAAAATACTGTACTTGAATACAGATCACTGGTCACCAGGCTCTTGGGATAAAGTCAGCATTGACTACAAAGGGATCAGAAAGATTTTTTTTCATGATGAAACTTTTATATACCTCGATTGTGGTACTGGATGGGTAACTACATGCATTTGTCAAAACTCCTAGAATCAGAGGATAAAACTAGGGAGGAAATTATTGAAGATAAATTATATCTCCATAAGCCTGATTTAAACAGCAACAGTAACAACAAAATAATCTTTTCCCTTTAACTGGGATGTGGGCCTCCCTCCCCGCCCCACACACTCCCATGATTTCAATCCACCCCATTTGCCTGATTTGGTTTCCATCTTCTATTTCTTGGGCTTGGTTTTCTTTTTTTTTTTTTTTTTAATGTATATGCGTGTATTGTCTGCATGTAGGTAAGTGTACCCGTGTTGTGCAATGTCCACAGACATCACAAGAGGCTATCGGATTCCCTGGGACTGGAGTTACAAACAGTTGTTAGCTACCATGTGGGTGCTGGGATTCGAACCCAGGTCTTCTGAAAAAACAAACAGTGTTCTTAACCGCTGAGCTGTCTCTCTGGCCCCGAGCTTTGGTTTATAACTCAGTGGACTTGTCTGTATTTGTGCATGCTATTTAATGTGTCTTTACTCCTCAGCAAACTGCAGGGGTTGAAATCCTCCCATCAAGTGCCCCCTTAATGAATCTTCCTCCTTCTCTGGAGAGTAGAGGCTGAGTCCTCTTGACTCCCAAGACACTCACTCATTCAGCAGTGGGAATCTGCATTTGCACCTTTGTAACTCCTATGTTTCAATCTCCTGCACTAAGACGCAAACCTGTTACAGTCCTCTGGAAAAAAAAAAGTTTATTATCTTGTGTGTGTGTGTGTGTGTGTGTGTGTGTGTGTGTGTGTGGACAGGGTCTCCCTGTAGCCACACAGCTGGCCTGGAACTCTGTATGTAGACCAGACTGACCTCAATCTCACAGAGATCTACCTGCCTCTGTCTCCTGAATTTGGATAAAAGGTGTGTGCCACCACACCCAGATTAGTTTACTATCTTATTTAAAATAATAATAAACTCATCACATGATAAAACAAACAACATATTTTTGAAAAATAACCCTTTTCTAAATCAAAAGAGATTTAGTGAGAAGATGATTACTGTTCTCAATTTTTCACAAACTCTCTTCAATAGCTAGCCTAATGGAGGCCAGCTGAACTGTGCTAGTGGCTGCTGGGTGCACTGTTGCAACATCATAAGCCGTGTCGCCTCTGGAAAACTCCACTGTACATTCATGATTGAGTATGAAAGAAACAAGTAGTGTGCTGTGCTAGGGTTATTATGAAATTAGTGTTATGAAATTAGCTTACCCGTGATAGGATTCCAAAGACCCACAGGGGTTCCAGGACAACACTCTGAGAACCATGCTTAAGGCTATCCCAACATTCTATGTTTCGTTTTTTGTTTTGTTTTGTTTTGTTTTAATTAATGAGCTTTATTTTTCACAGCAGTTTCGGGCCAGAGCAAAGCCAAGTAGCAAGTAAGGGGTTGTGATCCTGTCCCTGTGTATGCACAACCTCAGTGGAACATTATAATCAGTAAACTGACTACTTCTGAAACTTCTATCACTCAAAGCTCATAGGTTGCATTAGCGTTCACTGTAGGTGTTGTGTGTCCTGTGGGTTTTGACAAAGATGTAATGACATGACTTGATTTCTATGATGCAGAGTAATTTCACTGTCTTGAAAGTACCCTGTGCTCTGCCAATTCATTTTCCCCACCACTGGAAACCACAGCTCCTTTTACCACCCCTGTAGCTTTGCCTTTTCCAGAACATCAATGGTTGACATTATAGCCTATAGAGCCTTTTCACACTGGCCTGTTTCCCATAGTAATACACGTTTAGGTTTCCTCCATGTCCCTCCATGGTTTGATACAATTTCTTTTTAATACTGAATAGTATTCCATTTTCTTTATGTACCATAATTTATGTATCCATTCACCTGTTGAACGACATCTTGGT